GATGTGGCTGGACCCAGGGGAGCCACAGGGCAGTAGTGCAGAAGGAGGGAGGTACCTGCCTTGAGTTGTGTTGCCCATGGACACGGCCAGTCCCTCAAACAGTCTAGAGCAAAACTAATATACATTTATATATAATATATATATAGTAGAAACCATCAGGATCCAGGACTAAAATGGAGAGCCAAGTTACCTGGGAGCATCAACAGAGCCCAGCTAACACCCCCCTTTTCTCTTATAACTCACAAGAGCAGAAAGGAACAAGAAATTTCTTTAAATTACCTTTTGCAGTAGGCTTAGAGCTCCTCTGGCTGCAGAGAGAGAAGCTTCTTGCTACAGGAACATATCAACATTTGTGAAGGAGGAGAGCCACGTTACACATTTCTTTTCTTATCACCATACTTGTATAAGCAATGTTTTGGGGAGTAAAAACGTATGCATATATCGAGGACAATATAGTAGTACAATTTACTACGTTCCTCCAGACATGTATATAATTGCCAAGAAATAAACACAGGGTTTATACGAAGGGATAAAATATAGAAGAGAAAAGAGATGGTGACACACGAAATGGTAACAGCAAAAAATGGAAGTCAGCCTAAAATCAATTAGCTTGCCCTAACAAGGATAATGTTATTTTTTCTTCAGAGAAAAACACACTGAAATGAGGAGGCTCCTCTTCATCTAGTCACTCTGGTCTTTCTCTACCAAAAAAAATTAACGTATTTTCAGGAAAGGACCAAATAGTATGGGCAGCACAAGAGAATAAAGCAGAGCAGTGGGGCAAAGCCTGCTCTCCTTGCAGAGCTCACCTGCGCAGAGCAAACGCTGGGTTGGAAGGACAGAGTCCATCCCAGATGGGGAAACATCTCTTGAACGGGCTGGGATGCAACACGGCATCCCCGAGGAGCAGAGGGAAGACTGGGAGGAGAAAGCAGAGCTTTGGGTCTTGCAACAGCTACTCTTGAATTACTTGAGGATGCAAAGATTTCGTAGTCCAACAATGGGTTCTTCTCCAGGGTTTCATGGTTAAATACAGTTGTTTTATGCATGGTTTTAAAGAACAAGAAAAAAAAATCCATCAGTGGTAAGCAGGGAAAACAGTGTGTGCTTCAGCAGCAGGGAGGCACAGAAACTGGGGCAGCATCACCCAGGAGGGCAGGGAGAGCCCACCGCTCCTCTGATGGCTTTTCTAGTTATGATTTCCAGCATTTTAAAATCTGGTTTTGCCAAACATTTCAGTCGACACTTATTTTGGTTTGCACATCGCGTGAGACATTAATGGAGCATTTTGCAAAAGCAAGTCTCAGCAGCTCAGCTTTTCTAAGGCCAGCAGGTCCGACGCTTCCCAGTCCACACTTTTATGTCCCATCCCAAAACACAAATTAAACCCAACTGCCAGCTCTACCCTTAGACATTCAGAAATTACTAAGCCTTCTCCCTGCCTGAGTGTTGAAATCCCAGCCAAGAAACGCAAACTGACAGCTCCCGCAGGGGCTCCGTGCTGCCGGGGTGCCCCGCTCCCCCATCTCCTCTACCCAAGGAGCAGACGGATCCAGCCCCATCCACACGGCCCCTTCCCGGCTGCCACCTGCAAACCACCCCCCCAAGTGCCAACGGCAACACTGCTGCTTGTGGATTTGGCGACCCAGGGCTGCAAGATGCTTTTGGTGTTGCAAGCAGGTGTTTGCTTTCCAAAAAAATCCCCAAAACCCCAAACACAAAAAAACCCCAAAAAAATCATTTCACCTACAAAGATTTTTTTTTTAAAGGGAAGTAATGCATTCAGAGCCTGCAAACATTACAGTCCCTCCACC